GTGGGGACAGTGTGGGGGCGGAGGAGACCGCCCCAGGACCGGGGCCGGATGACGAGACCCACCTCAGCAGCCAGGTCAGAGAGAGCCTGAGGTGGGAGGGCGTTCTGGGGGACCCAGAGGCTGAGGAAGAACGGTTAAGAATTTACAAAGCCAACCGCCGGAAACGCTACTGGGCTGCCAAGCAGGATCTGAACACACTAGACAGAGAGGGCAATCAGCCTGGCCATGGAAGACTGGTGCCATTGGAATCTGCTTCTGGCCAGCACAGAGGCCTGGCCCAGCACAGGGTTTAGTCCACTGCATACTTCACTCAAGGGCGTGCTCAAGACCCCCACACCCGTGCCACTCTAGGATGACCATAGCCATGCCTGACGTAAAATCTCATGATGCCAAGACTCCATTAGAAGACAATGAGTTTTGAACTGGACTGTGATCCCAGCATGAGGAGTGCCAACACCACATAAAAAATAAATCAGATGTTGGACACGATTGGGACTGAAAATGCTTCTGGCTCCATTGTGGTTTGCATGGGCCTTCTGGCAGCCCTATCATTGCAAAATGCCATCAGACACTGTGATGATTTGTGCACTGAAATCAAAAAGGCTTAAATCAAATTGGCACTGAAGTTTAACTGAACTGTTGTGAATTAAGGGAGCTTTAACTACTAGTTTTATCCTATTGTCCTGCAGGTGGCTCTCTGCCTCCACCATCTTCTGAAGTGTAGCACTCCATTAGTTTCGGGGTTAATGAAGCAACACAGCTGGAGCATATAACTGAAAGGGATGCTAAGTTGTATTATTTTTATTATTTCGTTGCCAAGCTCAGCTCCAAGTTTGTTAATTTAATTGTCCATTTCCACCACTTCTGCAGTGTACCATTGTTCCCATATATAAACAGTTTATATACTCTTATACGTTATATACAATGGTCATCTCTGCATCGCAAGAACAAAGTTTTCAGAAGGTACTTTTTTCATGTTTCAATAATAAATTCCACTACAGCTTTGCACCAAATATTGGGAGATGGGACCAATATTACAAAAATAT